GTTTATGCGTGGGTGCTTGTGTGTGTATGTGTTTGTGTATGTGTGTGTATGTGTTTGTGTATGTGTGTGTGTATGTGTATGTGTGTGTGTATGCGCTTGTGTATGTATGCGTGTGTGTGTGTGTATGTGTGTCTGTATGCGTGTGTGTGTATGTATGCCTGTGTGTGTGTGTGTGCGTGTTTCTTGTGTAAGCTGAAAGACGCGAAAAATTATTGAAATATCTATTGCTCCAAGGGTTCAGGGGATCTCGTAGTCGAGCAGTCTCGACTAGAGCTTTCTTACTTGTTTCCTTTTATCTTATTCTCGGAAAAATTGATTCCATCAACTTTCAATTTAGCTTTGTCTCTCACTCACTCTCTCCCTCCCTCTTTTGCTCTCCCTTCCTTGTCTCTCTCTCTCTCTCTCTCTCGCTCTCTCTATATCTCTTCCTCTAAAGCCTATTTGCACTCATCTCCTATCTCCGCTCTACTATATGAATCTTGGGAGCTTTACTTGACTTAAATTGTGGCTTATATTTTCTCTTCCTCTTCCTCCCTTTCTGGCATCATATTCTCTTATTCTAGATCTTCAGCCCGTCCCTTGATCCGCCCCTTTCCTGTTCCTTTATCGCAACCTTAAGGCCTTAGGCCTAAGGCCTTTACCTTTATCTCTCCCTCCCTTTCTTATGATATACTCTTATTCTATATGATATATGATAATTTTTGTGGCACTCACCTTCTTTGGTTATAGCTTCTGTATCGCAATTGTTAGCTGTTGCCTCGTTGCTCTCGTCGTCGTCTTTGGGCTCGAATTCGACCTGCGAAGTATCAACGTCGTAGAAATTAACGCGGGTCACGTGACGCACATAGTCGGCGCTGTCGGTGGTGCGATGCGGATGGCGATGCCGACCAGCGCCTGGCCTCTCTCTCTCTCTATCCCTCTCCCTCTCTCTGTCTCTCTCTCGCTTCCTATGGTGGTTAGTAGTGTAGCTGGCAGGTGTCTGTGGTGGCTGAGCCTCTGGCAGTGTTTGGCCTGTTGCTGGCTGCGCATAGATGCGTAACACCAGTGGTGCCGCCGAGTGGGCGTGGTTGTAGCTGCGCGGCGGCTTTGGCACCACATTTGCAGCAACAGCAGCAGCAGCAGCAGCAGCAGCAGGGGGCAGTGTGAAGGGCGAAGGCGAAGGTGAAGGCTTAGACTGTTGGCTATGACTATGACTAGGCCAGTGGTGCAACTGGGTGGTGCGATAAACGCTCGCCGGTATGGCCGTAATGCCAGTGGATGCGTTCGAGGATTGATTGCCATTGCTGTTGCTGCTGCTGCTGCTTCGACTGCGGCTGCTGCAGCTCGAGCTTAGCTGATCGTGGCCGTGACTGTGGCTGTGAGTGTTGTTGTTGTTGTTGTTGTTGGTGGTGTTGGTGGTGGTGTTGGTGGTGCTGATGCTGCTGCTGCTGCTTTGGCTGCATGTGCATGGCGCTAGTAGAAGGATCACCACCATTCGTTCATCTGGGAGCGCTCAAAGTGTCCAATTGACTACATTGATGCTGGTTGCGAGCACCAACAACTGCCACGCCTACTGCTCCCACTGCTGTTGCTGCCGCTGCCGTTGCCGCTGCCGCCGCCGACGCCGCCACCGACGGTTGCAACTGCAACTGTTGCCTAATTAATGTTGTTGCCGCACTTTCGCTGCAACCAATTTGAATTTGTTGTGCCGCACAAAACATTTCAGCGACACGCGATCCACGATCCACGATCCCCCCGGTCCACGTTCCGCGTTCCGCGTTCCGTATTCAACGTTCCACGTTCCACGATCTCCGCTCAAATCTCTATTTGTTTATTGTCTCAATTGTGCATAAATTATTTGTTGAACTGCAAGTGAAATTTTGTTGACGGCGACTTTGACATGAGGACGTGAAAACGCGAGCTTCAAGTTGAGCCAATCGATAGGCGAGACTAGCAGATACCCTGTAGTCGAGCAGCTATTGATTGGGCAAGAATTATAGTCTATTTTAGCGTGAATTGCGTTCGAGCAAAGCTATCGATAAATTGTGATCAATTACACATCGATAGCGACCACGACAATCGATTAAAATTTGTATTTAAGCTATTTTTAGTCACTTATTAGGCACATAGGGGAACATTACACTCTAATTTCCTATTTGTGTCTAATAGTGATTAAACATAGCTCAATAAGGAATGTTCCATATCGATATTTATTGCACGAGATGAGTTATCGATCAATAATACTCTACATTTGTATACCATTTTATTATATAATCTTTAGAGATTACCACAAAGCGATAGATTTCATTTGATTTAATCTATTTTATCGATAACATGACACATTTATCGATAGGTAGAATAACTAAGGGTCATTGTGGATATTTCTGAAAACTAAATCATTAGAAAACTGTTTGATCAACACGATCAAAATTATGAGTCAGCTGGACGAACTTAGCTATCGCTTGAAACTATCGTTTCTAACTATCGACTCTAAAGAGCAAACGAAATCATTAGACCCAGAGCTCTTGAGAAGATATACACATAAAAGTATGCATATATACATGAATATATATAT